TCAATATTACACCGCGCACTAGCTGATGCTCGCGTAGCAATTTGTATGTATAGCTACACATGCCACATTAGAAATCCCTGCGCCGTATACTCCCTTGCTTAAAGCAGATGATATCATATAAGCGTGCTCGATTACACTCTCTCACTTTAGTTTTTGGGCATACACATAGTACACTTATCGTATACCTATAAAAATTAAAGCAAACTTATTGCACTTGCATGCGTTAAGCAAACGCTCACATTAAAGACATACACATCCACACACGAATAAATACATAGATATATATATATATATATATATATATACATATATATCGATAATAAATTAATAATATATTTACTCACTAACTTTCTGTTATGTTGCCTCGATTTTTTACTATTAGATTTTAACCCTAAAATTAGGTTTCATGACTATTTTTAAAATAGTTTTTTTTTCCTTACAAAAACACCTTAATCACGTAAGATATGTATGATACATGTATGATTAAAATAAAAATTTAACTTTACGACAAAAATTCTCTCATAGTTTCTGAACTAACGTACTCTCATTTTTTTTTTTTAAATTCATTGTGAGCAGTTTATTAACCATTAAAATAATTATTCCTTAAAATATTCGAAAGAAAACCATGTGCGTTTTTTCCAACATTATCTTCTGTCCATGAAAGTGCTAACTATATAAATTCGTACATGCAAGACATTAGAATAATAAGTGAAAAAAAGGATATACTCTTTCGTGACGCAAAATTATTTTTAACGAATAAACGTCCAACGTCATGTAATAAGACGAGTCGCATACTTGCAATTTTTTCACCTTGTCAGCTGAAAGTGTCTTCTGATTATTCACTCAAGCACCTTTTTTCTTGAAACTGAAATTTTTTTCGCTAACGAAATGATGTCTGCCCTAAAATATACGATGGTTAAATTGAAGCATTCATATCAATAGTAGAGTGGAAGAAAGTCTTATTTCAAAATTTTATTTTCGAAATACATTATGTCACAATGATTCAAAAAAACGTATCATTTATACATTAGGTAACATTGAAAAACAGCATATCAAAAAATTCTTAAAAAAACGTTATCTCAGAGATTTTTTGGAAACAATATTAGAGCATAAACATTTTTTGGAATGATAAGTACACAGTTTAAAAACTTTTGAAGGAAATATATTTTTTTCCATTACTTGAGAAAATAGATTTTCCTAAAAAATCATTCAATGATGTACTTTCTAAAAAAATTGTAGATACCATATTTTAATGTTATCAAAGATAATATGTTGTTTCTAAGTTATTTTGTGGTGGTGTTTGCCATTTAGCTGTAATGATGTTATATCGTACGAAAAATATTCCTCCAATTTTTTTACATTCTGTTGTTTCATACTATGTTTAAGCAAACAATGCAAATATATATTCAAGATCAAAATATATATATATATATATTATAAATACGCACGGCTTGTAGAAGCTTCTTAATATATTACAACGGTACAATACAGTTTTCACTTACAGTTTTATTGTTTTTGGTGATACCTGCTCTACGCCATCTGAAAACTGGAATTCGCGAATAAAACTTTTTTTTTACTTTTTTTTTCTTTGATAATATAACTACACAAGGTACAATGCAAATTTATTTATTCGACTGTTTATAGCTGGATGAAGTTTAAATAAGTGACACGTAGTTGCTACACATCCGTACTTGCTAACTATATATTTTGAATTCAATTTTTTTCTTTTTTGAAAAATGTATGTTTTCACATCACTAGCAAGAAATTTATGAATGTACTAAAAATATTTTAAGTATTTCTTTTTGTAGGTTTTTTAGTAGTTTTTATTCAAACAAAATTGATTCCAAACGCATGGCTTATAATCGTATTGAGCTCCAATGGGTAATAATTATCATCGTTGCACCAAAGTACTTAATTGGAAGAAAAATCTTACGTCCATTACTCAAATCCATAGAAATAAAAAAAAAAAATTGTTTCTTTTCATTTGCGTGACGAAGAACATGACAACATATGGATTACTAATCCTATGTACTACTACCATCGTAGTGATATATTCGTGTATGCATAAATAGGTATATTCACTCTCGATAATATTTACATGGATGCAACACCTGTAAATATATTTATACACACGAGGTGCATGGCAAAGATAAGATAACAAAATTACCGCATAATTGTACCTACAAAAGTATATGCGTAAACCATCCGTGCGCGCATACAAGCCCACGGGAATTTGATAGTGCCTGGCAATTAACGCGTGATGATTGATACATGTGTTGTAGATGCGGCGACAAGGACAGGACGTGATGCAGGTTAACTTGGCGGGTATCAGGCGGGACATTGTCAATCTCGCCCACAACTACAGCAATGCACAGGTGAGTGCCTTATACGTATACTGTAAGCGCCTGAAACATAATTATGTACTTCTTCTCTTTTCTCGAGCAAAAAAAATAAAAAAAATATAATTAATCTTCTCTTAATTGTTTGGCTCATCAGAACTTTTTAGCAAGAGACGGCTTAAGATTTTTATTCAAAGTTAAATAAACGATTGTAAAGGAAAAGACATCAATAATCTATCAATTGATTAATACCTCCTCAAGACATCGTTATTACATACATTTTTCGATGTATTAGGAAATTTTTTTTACGCAAAAATATTTGTTGTTTGTTATTGTTTTTGATCCCTAAAAATCAACAACTTCCCCGTTTGTTTCGAATTTTAAGAACTTTTTTGAAACCCAAGATTATTGGAGAAAAATTCTCGTATACATATACATTTCTTATTCCTTTTAAATGAAGATTATGATCAAACTTTTTTCAGAACAAAAAACTTGACTTTAGAAATTAGTTAGGGAAAAACAATGGAGAACCACATCCCTGAGTGGCAACATGCGCTTTCGTTAGTATACCCAACAGTTCGACGTTTTGAACGAGAATGTAGAAAGAAAAACTGCCTGCACGCGAATAATTTTTCTCGGCCCATACTTAACTATAATTCCGCTTTCTTCAACTGGTCGTGTTCTTTTTTTTTTTTTCTGTTAATCCAATCACATCCCGTGTTACATTACAAGATTATACATGTACACGTATGTATAGGTAGTGCGAGTATTACGTTGTACGTGCATAAGTACTACATACATTGTTGTGATTTAATTAATCACCTACTCCGTGGTGCTCGGAGCACGTCGTACGCGGCCGCGTGATTTTTTTTTTTTTTTTTTTTTTAACTGGGCATTTATGACGATAATGCAAGTGTTGAGCTCCAATGGCTCATTGAGTCGAAATGACATATTTATTCAAGTGCTGCTGCGCTTCTTCGAAGCGGCGCGTCCGGAAGTACCTGTAATGTCACTTTTGGCGACTTTGTTAGCTGCAAGATTTTTATCCCCTCTCTTCGATGCGCGCAATAAACGGGTGGTAAAAAAAATGAGCGCAAATCGAGTCCAACACTTTTTCCCGTGTCACGATGACGAAAAAAAAAAAAAACAATGCCTCAACAGAAAGCCGTGCGGAAAGCGACGAGCAATGACCCGTGGGGCCCGAGCAGCACCCTCATGGCGGAGATCGCCGACCTCACGTACAACGTCGTCGCGTTCACCGAGATAATGCAGATGCTGTGGAAACGGCTGAACGATCACGGCAAGAATTGGCGACACGTTTACAAAGCCCTCATGCTGCTCGAGTACCTCATCAAGACCGGCAGCGAGAAGGTCGCCCAGCAGTGCAAGGAAAACATTTTTGCCATTCAGACGTTAAAAGGTCATTATTTTTATCGTCATCATAATGATTTTTTTTTTTTTTTCTCTTTTTTTTTTATATCGGTCGATGATAAAATGCTTGCTTGCAATGAATATGCGTTTAAAAGGATTGTCCGTCGAGATTTTGGAGTGGGAAAATTTTTTTAGGAAATCGTTTCAGTTGATTTTTTTACAAATAATTGAAAAACATGGACCACATTGCATTGAGTTATTTTATATGCTTTTTCAGCAATGAAAATCGTCAAGATTATTTTATTTTATTTTTATTCTTTTCGATGAAATTTCCAAGATCATATTATCTTATTAAAAATAAAAATGACTTTTTTTTATTTTTTAACAATTCGACTTTTTCTCTAATTTGGATTTAAAAACTTGACAATAAAAAGCAAAATTTCATGTACAATTTATTAGATACAAAGTTCAAGTTTTATGAAACTAGGTGGTTCGAGTTGTAGAAAGTGCTGCGTTACTGTTTACAAATCACCATCTTTGAAATCATGGTTACGAAAAAATACGGGAATACCAGTCAAAATAACGCAATCTTACGAATAATAAGGCAACTTTACGTATATCTGTATCAGAAATCAGATACTATACATTTATCAATTTCTTATTTAAAAAAAACCACATATTATTAAAAANTAATTTCTTTTAGAACTTTTTTTTATACTGAGTATAAAATTTCCCACCTGAGATCTCAGGTGAGATTAATCAGGTGGGTTAGATTATTTTCAAAACTTGCAATGTTTAATCATATTTTTACTACTTAAATATTGTGAAAAAATGTAAAACGTTCACGAGATATGTTCCAATACACACGTTTTTGTGCAAAAACCACATATTATTAAAAAAAAATTTTTTTTCTATGTTTGCTACGTTGTAAAAATAATCTTAAAAATGATTGTAAAAAATATAACAGAGGTTTTTTCGTAAGGTAAATTTTTCGGGACAAAAGTTTGCGCGTACTGGCATATAAAGTGCAGCATATAGAATTGTCGAGAAATCGAGTACTTAATATTTTGGAAAACATCATTTTTGTAGATATTTTAGCTTTGTTAATACAAAGTTTTGGAAATGGGTACTTTTACTCTACAGAGTACACCTATCCCATCCAAACATTTCGCACTATTTGAGCCAGAAAAATATTTGCAAAAGACTTTCACGACTCGATCATTCAACTTATCATTTTCTCAATACCGATGCCCGCCGCGCTTGTAAAACTCTTGTGCTCGACTACTGTGGTGCACTTCATACACTTCTATACACTCACGGCGCATGGGTGTATACCCATTCGACCCGGTGCTCAACGATTTGCTAAAATATCGCCTTTTAGACTTTCAATACATGGAGGGCCACAAGGACCAGGGCATCAATGTGCGCGAGAAAGCGAAATCACTAGTGGCCTTACTGAGAGACGACGAAAGATTGCGGAACGAGCGCGCCCGGGCGCTCAAGGCCAAGGAAAGGTTCGCCCAGTCGCTCAGCGGCTTCGGCAGCGACGGCGTCGACTCGACCGAGCCGTCAAACAGCGACGTGAGTCCTTCCCTCACCTTATACCTATATACTTGAACGTCACGTGTGATATTATGTGCTTTGTTATGCTGTGTATTTATAATATATGTTGCTGAATTCGCATCATGCATTTGATACATTGTTGTATCGTTTGTCGATGTCGAAAAGTATCGTGTTATTTGTTAAAATATTCTATGGTACAGATGGCTTGAATGTTTAATCTTTGTGTTTTTTGCTTATTCGCAGTTCCAAGAATGGGTACCGTGTCACCTCTCGGGACCTCCATCGAGACGTAGCACCGTCAGTCTCTATTCAACTGTTTCACCGCATTCGTCACAACTGTTGTGGATTTTTTTTTTTTTTTTTTTTTCATTACAATTACTTCCACCGCCACACCAGTGGTCTCTGTCTTGATGATCCACTGGCGCCGGGCTTCATATAAAAAATAATTGAGGATAACAATAGACGGGTCTTAGTCGTCACCGTTGTTGTTGTTAATGTCAGTCGCGTTGCAAAACACTTCTAAATATAAATTTTGGCATGTTATTTTTTTTTTGTACCGCAAATCCCAAAGATCGCGTGCGGGTCGATAATCGTTAAAAATAAAGCCAGGCAGGTGTGCGCGCGTGTCGATTGAGCGCCCGTTCTCACCCCTTTGCTCGTTACTTCCCCAGCCGAGTTGGAGGATGCCAGACCCCAGACGGTCGGTGAAGAGGAGCTTCAGCTGCAGCTCGCCCTAGCCATGTCGAGGGAGGAGGCCGAGCAGGAGGAGCAACGGAGGCGCAGCGACGACGTTAGACTGCAGCTGGCGCTCAGCCAGAGCCAGCAAGATTTCAAGTTGGTGAAAAACAAGCAAAATACAACAACATCTTTAGTCACGCTGTGCGTCGCAAAAATGTCTAAAGGGTCGATTTTTCGGATTTCAGGTCGCCCCAGGAGAAACCGAGTCATATGCTCGATTTGCTCGACGTGAATTTGGGCGAGCCCAGCGCCTCGGCATCCGCGTCGGCGCAAGCTGACCCCTGGGGACTGCCGATAGTATCACCGACTCCTCCGAGACCACAGGTATCCAAAGAGCAATTTTATTTTACTTTTTTTTTTTTTTTTACACAATGTATACACACAAAAATGCCCGCCTGCAACGTTTGTCAAGACACTTATCTTACGATAGCGCATGATATTTAATTTTGCACTTTTGCACGGCAGTCACTGGACTTTTCCTCACCCTTTCTCATTGCAAAGGTATGTGCCCCCATGAGCCACGAGTTTTTACTTTTCATCCTCACCGTAGTCTCAAGCTATTATCAGTTTCATTTTTTTGCAGCAAATGTTGCGTAATCATAACTACAAGATTATCCGTAGACGTTGCGCACTTGTGTGTTGTTTTGATACCTACAAATGAATTTTATTGCGTCAAGTTGATGAAACATTCGTGCATCTTTTTCGATTATTTGGGTTAAAAAAAATTTTAGTGATGCCATTTAATATTTTCGCAGCAGCAACATGATCCGTGGGCCATTCCAACGGCAACTAGTGCTGCTACTCCTGCTACTGCGCCAATAACAATCGATCCTTGGGCTCCAGTTTTGCCACATAGGCCGAGTGAGTACTGATTTGTTCTAAAAAAATTCAGTCGAACAAAGAAGCTTGAAAAACTCAACTTGGATTTTTTTATTTGTTGCATGAATTTTGCTTACTATTGGTTTACAGGATCTCCAGGTAATGTTTGACATTGGATGTACTGACAATTTCTTCAATAACCCAACATTAACCACAAATTTTACTTTTTCACCAAGTAACCTTCGATAATGAACGATCAAACAATTTTCAGCTGCCACAGTTGATCCTTGGAAACCTCCAGCACCATCACCGGCAACAGTTCCTCCAGCATCGAACCGTGTCACTGTTGATCCTTGGGCACCTGTGACAACAAATAATGCCGATAACAAGGTGCTTGATCTCCAGCATTTTCTACTCTTTTTATAGACAATATAAAAAAAAAGTATCCAGACAGCACATAACACACATCTCGTTTTTAGTCTTCTCCGCTCGGATTCAGTGTATCTGCGACGGCGACTCCCAGTTTTAATACCACCAGTAACGGCCTGAGTTCTGCTTTTACCACATCGCCTTTGAGTCAAGTAAACGGCCAAAGTCCACTCAACGACCTTGATGAATTCGACATCATTAGTAATAGAAACAAAATGGGATCTAGTCCACAGCCTATGAATAATGGTAAAATCACCGACTAAAGCATACATTATTCTCAATAGGCATAGAATTACACTTTTATTCAATATTATTGTTTATTTGTCATCAGGAAATACAACGTCGCCAGACCCGTTTGATCTGCGAGGCCTTGGTGAATCAATGCCACCCAGCACCGGCGCCATCAAAAAGACTCCGCAATCATTTTTGGGTGAAAACTCGGCGCTTGTGAATTTGGACAATCTCGTTAGCGCGTCGACAATTAAAGGTCCAGCTCCAGCACCTGCCGGTAATTATCGACTTTGTTTGTTTTTACTTTTATTTTGACTTGAGCATTAACTTTTACGATTTGGGTGGATATGTTTTTTTAATTTTATTAACAAATACTTTAATAACCGTAATTAACATTTTAAAAACAATAACACGATTGGCTCTAATGGAGTGACCGAATTATAAAATTTTCGTAACATATTTATTCTATGTCTGCGAAGCAGCATTTCATTGGAAGTAAAACTTTGTGAGTATCAACCACGAGAATATTGGTGAAAAACCGATTTGCAAATGTTGCATGATGGCATGAAAAATAAGTGATTTCATGATTAGAGAAACTTTGAAAAAATTTGTAGCTTGTGACGAATCTCTCTTACATAAAAATTTCTAACTTTTCACTCTTTCAGTGATACCTACTCGCTATTTCCTATCTCTTTGTAATGCAACAGTAGTGATGTTAGGTATTGGATTATTGCATAGTTTGAAAATACGTTATCTTTTTTCATCTGGGAAATCATAATTACGTAATTTATTTGGTTTCGTATTCAAGAGACCATTGATATTTTCATAAAATATTATTTCGTTTCAACCATTTTCAAGTATTTTATTTATCCTCATAAGGCTTGTATCATTATTACTTTTTCAACAATCAGGTTATATTGTTGTTATTACTTGATAATTAAATATATTTGTAGTATTTTTTAGTAATTAATTTCTTTTAGAACTTTTTTTTATACTGAGTATAAAATTTCCCACCTGAGATCTCAGGTGAGATTAATCAGGTGGGTTAGATTATTTTCAAAACTTGCAATGTTTAATCATATTTTTACTACTTAAATATTGTGAAAAAATGTAAAACGTTCACGAGATATGTTCCAATACACACGTTTTTGTGCAAATGTGAAAGGAAAAAATTGTTTATACAGTCAATAATTCTGCTTACGATCCATACCATTTTATCCATTTATTTCTTTAGGAATGATTCGTTCAAAATTTAATTACAAATAAATGAATAAATATTCAAAATCCACCAAAAATCTGCAGAATCATTGAAATTTCCTGACACAAGTAGTAATGTCAAATACACGTGTGTCGCCATTAGCAATATTCTTGTGACAGCTTGAAGCCGTAGTCCAGTACTAATAGCTCAAATTCGACAAAAATCCTTACAGCACCTGCATTCTCGGCGAATCCCTTCGCCCCGGTGACGCCACCGCCGCGTCCATCGATCAACCAGATTCGACAGGACCCGTGGATCAACACGTCTACCGCGACCTCGACGCCTACGCCAACCGCCGCGGCTAACCCCTTCCTCTCGTAGCTCTGAACAGCAACATCATCAGCAGCAGCCACTGCAGCCGAGAACCAGCGTCGCATCTCTCGCGCCAGTACACACATATTATATAATATACACAAAATGATAAATAACTAAGCCCGCGCCGTGGTGACGTGCATGCATCTGTTGCATTCCACTCAGAGAAATGATCAACTTTTTATCCATACCAATGGACGATTTGATTTTTACACAAAGAATTTTTACACCTTTTTTTTTCGGATTCGAAATTTTTATATATTTTTAGAGCTCATATTTATGATGAAATTCATGCGTAATATAATCAGTAAGTGATGCGTTATTTATTTACTTTTTTTGTTGTTATTATTATTATTACTTTTTTTTTCTTTTTACATCAAAAGGAAATACTTTCCCGTTAATCATCGTTGAATTTTTGCTGTGTAAGCAGTGTACATCGAGTATCGTGCTATTCCTATTGATTCAAATACAAATAGTTTTAAAAGACAATCGATTTTTACATTATTTTATTTTATTATTTTGTAAATAACTTACTCTCTGAGTGTGATAGCCGGGTGTGAAGGTATTTTTGCCCCGAAACAAGACCCTGTGTGCATGTGAAAGGTATACGAGTCATAAATCTTGGCCTTGAATCGTATGCGTCAAACGTATAGGTTTACCAAGATTTCGAAATTTGCTTTTAATACGCTAATGGTTCGAATAGTTCTAAATCCCATGAGGCGCGAGAGCATCGGAGTACGAGAGGCATTGAGTGAAGTTTTGAAGAAAAATTGAAAACCAATGCGCGTTGTGAATCGAACGCTTCAAGATCCATGNAAAAAAAAAATAGATTTTATACTTACTCCTTTTTCATATATGTATAGCATATTTTTCGAGTAAATGAGAGCAAGAAAGAGAAAGTGCGGTAGCAAAGTTCGGTATTGAGAAAAAGAATAATCGAATAATGAAATTGAAGTTTGTCGAGTCAAGTTATCGTGACGCAAGAAGATGCATTTCATCGTTGAGGAGAAAGTCTGGTGCGAAGGTTTCATTATGACGTTGGACAGGGTTTTCTGTTTATTTCTAAAGAAACATAAGTAACTCGTTCGACAAATGAGTTTTTAGATTCATCTGCTGATGGGTCCTTAAAAATAAAAGTACGTTTTTGCTCGGATTAAGATTTTTGTATTAGATTTTAGCGTTTGTATACCAAGTATTTTCAGTTGAATGATGCCGAACAAAAATCTATGAAAAATCTTTTGTCCCAAAAGCAAAAAACTCTCAAGATATACACACATATATATATATAACACATATAGAACAAGAGAGTACATAGTTTGAAGTGCTGGTGATGGATAATTATTTGTATTGTAAGCGAAACGGTCGTGGTGTTCAATAAGTAGGAAACATTTCTTTTAATTTTAAATATCTTATCCTCAAAGAACTGCAATAGACGTGAATATATAACCACACAAACATCGAATGCCGAAATTTTGGCCTGCGGTCAATCATTTTGATGTCATTGATCATGAAAAAAATGTACATAATAATAATTGTAAGGCCTCTTTATTTACAAACGTCGCTTTATATATTCTTTTATTATTATTGCTTGTCTTAGTGTGCTACTATTATAAAGACGCTTTTGAAAGTTATGATATATGTAAGCACATTCATGTTTTTGTGAAGTAATCTGTGCTTGCGATTGTATTAAAGAGCGTACCAAAAAGTCAATTAAATAATTCTATCTTTATTGATTTACTCGGTTATTTATAATTTATGTATACATGATGGATAAAAAAAATTTTATTTTTTAATAAAGAAAATATATGTTAATTGGAAGTTCTTCAGTCAAGCGGACACGAGTTTTTTCATAGACCAGCAATATTCAAGTCAATCAAGTTCAAATTCTAATATTTATGGAAAAATAGAATTTATCAATATTATTTAGTACATAAATGGTTAATCTCCATTTCCAGTTTAACTCACATTAATGATCCTTGCAAAAATTATATGTAAAGTTAAACACTACAAGCATTATGATTTTAGCCAGTGTATTTGCACATGATTAACAAAATTTGAAAATAAGATTGTGACCTTATTTATACATACATGCATTAGGTTTATTACAAAAAATGACGAAAATGAGATTTATCGACTTATTTATTTACTTTTTGATTTAGTTCACCAATAAAGTAATTTATAACATTTGTTTCATCTTAATGTCAACAGACTTTGGATTCCCTACCATTTGTAAAGACTTGTAGACATATTATTTTCAAAGAGACAAATTTTACAAGTAAAGGAGACTAAATTATTTTTAGCCAAATCTGATGACAAGATGCATAAAATGAAAATTTGAAATTAAGTATTTTTAGTAATTTATTATCTGCAGTGTAATGTGTTAGACAACTTGTTTCGAAGAAATAAAAAAGTATCCAGGGTGCATATTTCATTTTTGTACACTAGATTATAGAATGTGAGAAGTTGAGTTATTCCATCAATATAGCCATGATAAATCAGCAAAAAAACGATAAAGTATTGTTGAAAAAACTTTTGGGATTGGGGAATAAATGATAAGGAACACTAAGAATGATGTATTTTAGAATCACAAACATTTAATACCCATTCCTAATAATGTTATTGCCACTAATGTTATTATTACAAAACCACTATTATCACTTTGTAATATCACATGTTAGTGAGATATGTTGTAAAAACACTGAGTTTACTTCTTTATAGGTATTTTTTTGTTTTCTCTTTACAATTTAATTTAACATATTTTTAATTCCTATGCAGATGGGTTTGATTTTATTATATATTCGATTGCTTATTATAAATGCAAATAAAATCAAAAATTGATATATTTAGTTAATCAGGTGTACAAATTCTTTCAAAACGTCCATTTTCCTGTAAAATTTTACCCTTACTACGTAACGATATTTTCAGGTTTAAAAATCATTTTTTCTCTGAAATATTTAAATGTAGCGTGACATTCGCTGGTTGAGTATAAATCTTCATGAAGAAACATTTTCTAGTGGTCTTGCATGTATAATAATTTTATAAAGACTCATATTCTTAGCAATGGATTTGTAAAGTATGAAGGTGGAAAATTTTTTTTTTCATTTTCTCTAACGGGCTTATTTATTGAAGGAATGCAAAGTTTTATGAATACACATTATTGATTATAGAAAAGTAAAAAAAAAAAAATGATATTAACATCATGGGTATTTATAGGCAAAAATTAATGATCTGCTGTAATTTGTTGGACGGTAAATTTAAAATAATTTAAAATAAATACTGCCATTCTTAGGCTTATCACACTTCATGAAATCAATGAATAAAAAAATTTGTCATTCGCAATTAATGTCAACTAAATAAATTGTCGAATATTGAAAGTATCAATTTTAAAAATTTTATCATGCAATTCGTAAATTTTTCTTTATTTAGACTTTCGTGTACAAAATAATGACTTACATTTTTCACACAAAAAAGTGTGATTGCCAGTATAGGTCCTTTAAATACTAAATATGGAATTATTACTTTCCACTATTTTTGGTCATTTTGCATTATATTTTTACAAAAACTACTGGTAAAAAATTTTTTTTAAAAACTACAACTTTTATATCAAACACACAAAATATTGTGGAATGTCATTAGCTCATTTGTATAGTACTTGTCTGTTGAAAAAACTTATTTAACACAATCAATGATGACACACTAATGACTTTATAAAATAAAATGAAAGTAGTTTGAAATTGATTTTTTTTTGTTCCATACCGTTTTCTTTTCAGAACCAAATATGTGAAATATGTTATAGCCAAAAACTATTTTTTTTAAACATCAATCATAAATTTTTTAGTTATTAAATCATGCATAAAAATATTTTTTTCTTTCAAAAATATAGTGGTAATAAAAGTCGTTCTTTGTAAAATCGTTTAAAAGGTCTAAAACAACCACTGCAGTCTTAATTTCATAGAAACAGGTGGATCGAGTTTATTTAAAATTTTGCAACTCAGTGCTTGCAAAGTTTGATTCAGTAAAGTATCAAATTTATGTATGAAAACAATGCCAATTGTAGTCCGGATGAATGACAACTTGCTCAAATAGTCTACGTACATGTTTGTAGGCATGTATGTACACACAAATAGTGGATTACACAAACAATATCTATTTTTTCTAACCCACAAACCTATTTTTGTAGTCTCCATATATTAACTTCACAAAGAGATACACTTTTTGCTCTGCTGGTATACATACAAGGCACTTTTGTGTAACAGTCATGCCTATGAACTACTAAATTGTATAAAAAAAAAAAAAAGACAAAGTAAAATGAAAAATGGTTGTATACTATACATGAAATAGATTTAATCCAACTTTTCAAGCACGAAAACTTGCATTAAATTCACTCTTTACATACATTATTAGTAATCAGCCTTATGAGATTTCAATTTAAAAAAATGAAGTATCAAAAGTTCACAACGAGGCATCTGTTGAAGAATTAACAGGTGCACTTGGAAGAAAATATGATCTAACTTGGGCATTCAACTTTGCCACTTCGGGGTCTTCTTTCTCTAAAGACCTGATCAACTGTGCAAATTGCACTGTACCTAAAATATAAAATCACAATTTCAAAATCCTGGAAAAATTCATTAAACGCAACTGTCTTTGTAAAAGGATGTTTCGTATTGTAAAAATTACCCTCTCTTCCCTCCGGAAAGCCGTATTTTTTAATTACTTCCATTTGTATCTGCATGACAGTAGGAAAGACAAACTGCATTGTTTTAAGCATTTCATTGCCGGAATTATCTTTACTCGCAGCGTTCAACTTTTGTACATTTTCTGGTGCTTCCAGAGCCGTAAGAACATCTGACAGTGCAGCTGCATTAAAAAGAAAAATCCACAAGGAATTCAATATAAATTCAGGATATTTGGATCGAGACATAGGAATATCACAATTCACCTTTCGCTGCTTCTGCTGTGAAATTTGACATTTCAGATGCTTGTCAAGTGTACTTGGAAATATTTTTTCTTTCACTGCATTTTTGTCTTGTTACTGTTACAAAAATAATTGTTATGTGTCACATAAAAACACATGCAAGAGTCAAAAAAACGTAACTACAAAATAAGTACACACAATGCAAGAAGGTTTTGACAGTCGAAGCGTATAGTCCAAGTCGACGCTAGCGCCCTCAACTATCAAACTATCCACGATGGGGCGATGTATTTGATGAATATTATTTTCTCAAGAAAGTGCTGAAGAAATATGGTGAATCCCCAACATTCAACTGTTTTATTATTATTCTCCTTCTTCATGGGAACTGCTAATCCATGTACTTAATTCACGCTAATCAGTTTCCACATATACTCTTATTGAGCACAAGAATTAATCAAAAATTTGATCAAGTTTATTTGTGGTTTTCTTACTCCGCAACCGTAAATTGAAATTAAGATTGGAGTTGGAGACTGCATTGTTTGACTTAACATCAGCAGTAATAATGAAACCACAATGTGTACAAGAATATTTAACCTTTCGTATGCATACAATATACAAGTTCCTTCTGAGAAGCACAAAGTGAACGTTAACGTTGTGAAATCGTTTGCAGGACATTGAAACTGATGAAGAAAACATTTCAAAATACTCTACTCAAATGACTTGTGGATAAGCAATCAAAGCGTTGTCAGGAATTAGTTTTTTATTATTAAATTCAATAAATTGAAAGACATCTCGAGATCAGAAAAAATACTCTCAGACTTAATAAGCAATCATTGTTGATGCTGGATGATACCATATGAGCTGTAGCATGTTAAGATGAACATCGTATGTATAGTTGCATTGAAATAATTGTGCTAAATGAAACACTGGATCTTGTACAAGAAATGTAATGGAGGTGACATATATAATGAAGAATTTTTATTTGGATAAAAACTTAATCATGTCTATTGACCGGGAATCTTTAGAATATGAGGTAAGTCGTTTTAATGCATTTTACATATATTCGTTAGTTGATATTATAAAATATGAAAGGTCTCGGATTGTAAAGAAAACTTTATTTCGTGTAAACTTATGATAACTTAAAATTATATAACAATACGTGTCTAACTAGGGTTTGTCAACGGGATTATCTTCCTTTTCCATCATTATTTTATCAAGTCTAAGCCTAATTGGTTTGATTTTTGTTTCATCTTCAACTTCTGATTCTGTTGCGACTTGTGATTTAGAATTAGTACTTGTACTTTGTTCACTTGTTTTGCTCGTCCTCGCGTATTTTGTTGCAGTAACTTGATATTCTCCTGGATACTTTGATAGGTCTCCTGTTTCTTTCTGAGGTTTTTCAGTTTTAAACTTATTTAAAAATTCTGTAACTGCTTTATCATATAATTGATCTGCGGGTACATTTTCCTGTGATGAAAAAAAAAAAAAAATACTTCATGCCTTGATCACAAATTTAACTCCTACAATAAACGAATTAGCACTTACTTTTTCTAACTGTCTATAAATTGTAAGAAAGTGCTCAGTCTTAGATACCGATGTTTCATCCATTAAATTAACCATAGAATACTGTTTGTATTCCTTGTGAAACTTACTAAAAGTGAAAGTACTTATACATCTGAATGTTTATATAATAGCTGTTTTAAAAAGATATAAAAATTGGTCTTACGCTCTGATTACATCTTCGGAATAGAAAATTTGCCTTAATAAAACATTTGGAGTTTTTCTGTCATAAGATGGCTCATACTTTGGAGGAAAAGCTTTGTAGATATCTAACCACACCGGCTTAGTTTCTTCTTTCATTACTCCGGTTTTTATAAGAGCACACACTCTGAATTTTATAAAAATAAATACTTGTCACAATATAATGGCATCAATATTGTTCATCAAATCTTCATTACTTTTTTTAACTGTTCTCTGTTAAGTTTAATAATATAACAGAGAAAGGACTAAATTAGTGAGATTTTTACCTGGAATAAATTGTCCCAACTTTTTCCAATCGACTTTGAGCCATTTTGTGGATACTTATACACTATTCAATAATTATAATTATTAACGATTGAAATTTTTGATTTTAAAAGCAGAAAAGAGATGTTCCCGGGGTTAATGCTTTTGATTATTGTGTAAAAAATTGAATATTGTCAAAAAATAAAGTTGTAAAGGTACATTTGAGATGTTGAAAATCAAACTAGAAACCTCAAACCCAATGTTATTGTCCTAGGTTAAAAGGGTCGATATACATCGATGTTTAGCAACATCGATATGTCGAATTGAAACTATCGATAGTTTTCATAGATGTGTTTTGACTTGACCCAGGGTTGTTCAAACAACCCGACTTTTGATACACATGTCCGTATCAAGTCGAATAAGTGGATTAAGTTGATTATCGCATCGGCAGGTTCTGTTCATTAGCGAAGCCTTATTTTGTGTTAATTATTAATCTTACGTAAGAAATATGAGTAGCAGAGAAAAACTACCTAAATTTGTTTATAGCAGGTCGTGCAGTGAATAAAAGCTAATGGTTAAAATAAAAATAAATATAAGAATTGTTTATTTTACACAAAAACAAGATAAAGTGCAATGTGTGTACGTACGTAGAGCACGAAGGCTTGACAACGTCTGAGGGTCTGAGTCGGTATTCGGCAAGCTGAGTACAGTGATGAGTAAAATATAAATAGGGTTGGCGGCCGCTGCAACTGATGTCTCGGTCATACAATCGGTAATAGTGAGCTTCGAGGGAGTGAGAAGCTGAGGAAACAATGTCCGCCATTTGAGGCTCATGGGGAAAGGCGTGAGCTTGAAAAGGCATCATTTAGCATATGTATACGTTACGATATACATATATGTTTTTTTTTTTAATTATAGTGCTCTACGTCCGGCTCCTTTAATAAGGGCACTACTATGGGCACTTAGCACTTGGGAGAAGGAAGGGAAGAGGGATGGGAGGCCTCCCATTACTGGAAGGGGGTAGAGGGAAATAAGGCAATTTTTCTGCGAGAAGGTCGCCTATCCCCTCCTCCAGGAGCATTGCGTGGTGAAAAAGCACATGTGAAAAATCACAGAGGTACTTGCCCGAATAGTCGCACTGGCCGGAAATCGAACCGCGGTCTCCCGTGTGCCAATCCACGACCTATAGCCGACTGAGCCACCGCGCGCTCACGATATACATATATATATGTATGGATATATGCATATATACAAGTATATGACTAAAGTCCCCAGAAGCCTCAAATGGCGGTCGACCAATCACAAACGGTCCCAAGATTATCTGCTCACTCTCTCGAAGCTCACTAAAATCGATAAAAGCGCTCACAGTCTTTAACACGTAAAGTGCATGTACAAAAGATAATTAAGGTAGCTCATCACATGTGTACTATCTGATTGCGTGATATCAGACCATCAGACCTACAAACATCCGGTCATGACGCTGCCATAGCACAAGTACTTAACCTGTGTCTTTTCATACATAATCATCTTTTCGATAACTAATACCAAAATATTACCTGGTACACCCAAATTTTTTTGATATCATTGAGAAGCTTATGATTTCTAATTTCAATTCCTAATTTTATACAAAGAGTTAAGGTATATTTTGGAAAATATCGTAGCATTTTTAATCAATATTGTATGGCCTTCCGTAAAAGCCCAAGTTGAACATAAATTTACACCTGGCACACCCAAATTTTTTCGATATCATTGAGAAGCTTATGATTTCTACTTTCAATTTCTAATTTTATACAAAGAGTTAAGGTATATTTTGGAAAATATCGTAGCATTTTTAATCAATATTGTATGGCCTTCCGTAAAAGCCCAAGTTGAACATAAATTTACAAAAGATTTGTTTAAAAAAAATTATATATATAATTCCTTTAAGTTTTGTTGATACTTAAGTTATTTTCATTGCCTTGTTCGAGGATATTTAACATGTAGTACGTAGCACCCTTTCTCACCGCCAGATGACATCACAGTTCACAGATTTTGCAGACAAAAAGAAAAACTTTCAAAAGGCACGCGATACGACTCGCCGCCGACGCCTCCTTCCCTATTCGTCATGATACGCAACTATTAGCACCGAAGAGTTCTTACAAAAGTAAGTGAATGTAACCTCTACCATTTTACGTGTTCAAAAGAAAACCGCGAAAATTTAGCGCCATTCTACAATGTAAAAANGTTGCCCACGTACTTATTTTCAAAGGCGTAGGCATCACAATAACCAATCGATAACATCAGTAGTATTTTCATTGTCTCTAGAAGAAATAGTATTGTTGTGGTGTCCGCGAGAATGACGAGATAGCGTGGTATTCAAATAATAATTTATTATATTAAGATTATTAAGGAGTGTGTATGTATCAATTTTATAATCCTAACCAAAATATTTATTATTATGTTGAAAATCATGATTTTCTCTTTAATTAGTATGGATACAAATAAAAATCAGAGGATCATAGAATTTCCCAGTATTTGTAGTATCGAAATACATTTTTTTTTCGATTTTTTAACCATTACTAAGGTATGTTATTTTTAGGTCACAAAAATTTTCCCATAATAGCCCGTGCTAATTATGAGCAAGGTTATTATTTGGCAAAGATTTAAAAATCATAGTGATATGTGTTTGAACACTTGAACTGATAATGCTGCAAATCACATCGATGCGCGATGATTCGTTAAAAGAACAAGCTAAATCCTTTTCCAGACAATGTTAAAAAAAGAAGATATTAAAAGATTCATATTACTTGTATAAGAATATTATTCAGTAATTTATGAATAACTAATGATTTAGCAATAATTTTTACAGCAATTCCATTGCTCCAAAAAGTTTGTCCCTTCTTAATTTATACTCATATAGAAAATCAAATAGCAGTCATTATAAAAAATTAAAGATAAGTATAAAAACTTCTTTAAATTACTTTCTTACTAAAATCTAAATTAGCTCTTTCTATAACCTAAATCTGAATTAGCTGTTTTTTTTTTAGCCCAGTAAATAAGCTGGATGATGTACAAAAGTTGACAACAAGCACCAATTTGAAAATTTTTTGTTTGTACGTGGTCTATAAACCCTCAACAACATTCATCGCCACCAACATCTGTTTAGGAAAAAAATTAGGAGTTTTCGCACCCCCAAATCATCCCCATAGTAAAAGTGATGAAAAATTTTAGAAATTCAAAACTTTACCTTGAAAACCGTCTCTCAAGAATTTTTAAGATCGCTGATTCCGAATCCATGGTCAAAAATCGTGTGAGGTTAGTTGCACCCTATTAAAACCACCCCTATAAGTGACAGAAATGGAGAAATTAAAATTTTAAATTTTACCTTGGAAATCATCTCTCGGGGGTTACTGGGGTTTGCTTATTATGAATCTGCGGCCAAGCATCGTGTGAGGGTGGTTTCACCCCATCAAAATCATTCCCTAGGAGTTTTATGAGGAAATTTTAAAAATTAAAAATTTTACTTTAGAAATCCTCTCTCAGGGGTTTTGGGGTCACTGGGCAATAATCTTAAGGTAGATGTTTCCCAATATATGGGTCAAACGTATATATAGATATACAATACTAAGATTATGTTCAAATATCCCGTATTCAAAATATCAGAGAGAAATGTGAATGCCTTTGCGTATACTTATACGTACATAACAATAATGGGGCTATGTAGTGTTTGCACTATTGCTCAAATGTTAAAAGAGTGTTTTTTTGACGAGGATATTTTAATAACGACATGGTAAATCTGTCTCAAATTTTTTACACACATTTTTCGACACTTATAATAGTTTTGCTGAAAATTTCGTACCTTTTCAGATATTTTTGATTTAGGAAACATCTTAAGGTCAGCTACAAACATTTCAACGTCCAGTGCAATCGAGAAATAGTATTCTACCGTAAAGCTGTCCATAGCTTATTGTTACCTCTTCATCTGTTTGCCATCCTCTGCAGTCAGTAACGTTATTCTTGCTTATATAAAAGGAGCTCAATGCATACCTGAAACTATTTTTATACTTTCCCACGAAATTGTAGTATGCCTTTTTCATCGATGGCGTGAAAATGACAGATTCAATTCCGCCAAAAAGTATTATAAATGCAATAACATGTGGATATCGTACAGGCTGTGGTGCAGCTTGTGGTTGCAGAAAAAATGTTGTATGCTGCTCACAAACGTGCACTAATCGTGAGCCACCTGCAAGTAATGACAGAAGGTAAAATTTTCCTATTTTTGTCACTCTTAGGGTAGACTTAGACTACGTCATCAGTGATCCCAAAAATCCTCGAGAGACTGTTTCTCAGATGAAATTTTTTATTTTGATAATTTTTTTATCACTTTTACTATTAGGGGTGATATAGGGGTCGGAAAACTACCCTAATTTTTTCATTTTCCATACCAAGGCAGATATTGGTGGTGATAAATGTTCCTGAGGGTCTACACAACACGTTCAAACAAAAATTTTTCAATTTGATGCTTGTTGCCATCTTTTCCACGTTTTACAGTATTTTCCGGCTTATTTATTAAATTATTTAACCAAGCGTCCATATGTTTTATTTTACACGCTTGTGATGTATATTTGAGATTATTTATGTCTATAAGTGAAGTTTTTTCTTTACGAGAATCAATTCGTCCATCTCTGATAGTATTCCCCTTCACTTTATAAATTTGTTACCCGACTTTCCTATTAAATAGTGTGCATGTTACGGAAAAGAGACGTAGCTTGCAGATTGTTTAACCTTTTTTGTATTACTACTAGGAGAAGATGGTGTAAAATGATTATGTGGAATAAAACTATTCCCCTCGATTTTAGCGGCTCTACCAGAATTACGGAGTTTAAACTGCATGCAATATGCAAATATATAACTCGGTTTAAGTTCTGATATAACAACAGCGCACCATTCCCTCTCGTTCTTGCAGATATAGTTAAGAAAACGTGAAAATGATCAATTTGATCTAATGTTAGCACTTTTTTGAGTATTGTAATTTTATTTTTTGGATCTTTTTTGCACGATTGTCTTATTATTACAACTTGGTAGTCGAGATTAAAAGTATGAATTCAACTAAGTTGGTTGGATGCATATATTTTAATAGTTATTTACGTAACAAGTGCGGAAAAGATGATTTTCCACATGAGTCGTGATTGATTCGCACAAGTGTCCGGATTTGACGGAAACGAGTGCCAGCTGAGCACACGAGTGC